AAGATATATATATATATATATATATATATAAACACAAGTTAAAAAACTGAATAAATTTGTTGAATATGATTCATATTTAAATTATTTACACATAAAAGACAAATAGTTCAAAAATGTCTTGACTTTAATAAATCAAACTGCTCATTAAAAAAAACGGTTTTAAAGAAAATATAATTGTAAGGAAAGTCACAGAAAATATGCAATAATGCTAGGGATGATAAATTCAATTACAAATCTCATCATCTGATCTATATCATCCTGATATCCATGTACCATACAGTAATTTAGCTGAACTCTTATGCTTTGAATTAACATGAATTTGTATCAGAAGGTGGAGGTTACTTCTAGATGAGTGTATAAAAATGTGGTATTGAAACTTTTTTATACTTGTGATACCATAATTATTGTCTCTTCATTTTATCATTGAATGATTTTGAAGCAGCTTTTCATTTAATAAAAATAATAGATTTAACCTTGTCTAAATACTTAATTTTCTTTTTACAATTTAAATTCTGTTAATTGCTATCAAAAGAAATGAAAATTTAATACTGCAATATTAGTTTGATTACCCATCATGAATTGTAAGTCAATTTTGATAAATACATGGAATAACTAAAGAAATATCACACATTAAAAAAAAATATTTTTCACTATTCATTTTCAATATAATAATTTACAATAAGCATTCGCTATGTATTTAGAAGGAAACTAAATAGGTAATTAAATATAATTTTCTTACGTATCTACATACAAAGATTAGAACACATTGTTTTATCAGCTGGATACATCTAAAAATGTGGAATAACTTAAACAAAAATGAGACTTTTTTTTTCACTTCAATTGGGAAATGAGATCAATAATTAATCCTAAACCAAATCACATGTTAATCCTTGTAGGATCTAGCAAAATGATAGAGATTGTATAAATGTCAGTGGAAAAAAAACTCCAAATGGAAACAAAATTTAGAATGTGAATTTTAACATGAAATACAACTCTAAAAAATAATACAAATAAAGAGAGTCAATGTGGTTATGAAAGAAACATTTGGTTGAGGGTAAGGCAGAAAAATCCATTTATATAATTATCAAATGTTGCATGTGTATGCTATAATTGAACTGTTATTCAAAAATACACTGAAAAGTACAATGTCGAATGTATGCTGATAGTACAATGGACAGTTAACAATTAAAACATAACTTACAATATCTTAGTAATGAAAAAGCAAAACTAGTCATAAAGTAATGTCAATCATTAACTCTGTTCATCATCATGCAAGTCAGGCACCTGATCAATTATGTGATCTGAAATGGAAATGATTTGCCATTTAAACTAGGTTCATATATGAACATTTGATAAAAGTGGATTTTATTCTATACAGTTAATGATAATTCACTTCATTATGAAATATAGTCACAAGAAACAGCATGCACAGCTTGGCAACAATGTTACAAGCTTAAAAATCACAGCACTGATCAATTTAGTACAGTGAAGGCAAAATTATCATCTTTTCAGCTATGGCAGGAACAACTAAATCAGCACAATGAGATGCAGAATGTGGTTCTTATAATATGTAGTGTTACTGAGCAATGACAATATTATGAAAAATAATTTACATTAAATTCCAAAATGATACTACCTCCACACAACCCCTGAGCATTACTAAAATTTTCAACAGCACATCAGTCTATTATACCCCTTCATTTTTGCTCCATTGCAACAAAGTGTGCTGATCATGTGACTCCCTTCCACCAATCATACTGCACCATCTATACTAGTGCAGCACAATTCTCATTTTCGAGAATTGGCAGATACAAACTAGAAACACCGGCAAATCAGTGGGGAGGAAGGGTGAGAGAAGGTAAGTGCCTATCAAAAATACATTTTCAGTGTTAGAAAATGTTAACTTCTGAAATGGTACTACTTCTAGAACAGGTATGCTCTTCACCCAGTAATGAACGAAGTAAGATGCATAGGATGGAACTTAATAGACAAGCACCATTTTATGTAAGAAAGATTCTGTCCATGGACAAGAGATAGTACATAAGATGTTTTTTGCAACGAGCATGAGAACATGACACAATGATAGTTGGATTGCAAGAAAGAGCTTATAAGCGGATATAAGAATAAGTGGCTAGGGCTAAAGAACTGTATATAAATAGGCCAAGTGCAGTTCGCCTGGGCAGAAAACATCCAAGGGAAGCCCATTCAGATACAACAGATTATGCCAAGTGTGTTCCATATGGGCAAAAACAACAGTAGAAGTGCCTTGCATAAGTTTATAAGCTCAACAAGTGTGGTCTGACCGGGGAAAAAAACATCCAGGTGAAGCACCTTGGATATATATTATGAGAGCCAAGTGTGGTCAGCCCTGGCAAAACATCCGGGGCAAGCACCTTGGCCTACATCAGACTATGTCAAGTGAAGTCCATCCAGGCAAAAAACATCCAGTGGAAGCACCTTGCATAAGATTGTGTCATATCTTGTACGAAATGTATTGAGATATCAACAAGTGTGGTCTGCCTCGGCAAAAACATCCAGGATAAGTGCCTTAAATGGAGTATGATATGATATAATATTAAATATAATGACAATAGCCCTCTTCTCACAGAGTGGGTACATATGACTATGAAGTTTGGTTTACCGTATAAATCCCACTCCTGAGGAAACCTCCATGGTCCACCATTCCAGTGACTGGGAACCGGAAGTGGCAAGGACCCCCAATACTCCACTAGAAGAAAGAGGGGAGAAAGATACGTGTTGGGAGGTCTGGAGGAGCGACACACTGGAGACAGTGCAATAATCATCTGCATTTCCATATTTTAAAAAAACGAAAGACCGTGATCATAATAATCACAGGTTAGTAGGGATGGGCAAAAACCCCTATCTGCTTTACTTATGAGTGACAGTGCTTTACATATGATGCAGTAATAACAATAAAAAATTATATAGCTATAGATACACATCACTGGATAAGCAGCAAATGGTCTTACAGAAACATCCCATCTCCATAGTGAGCGTTATAGAAATATACAAATTTAGTGCTAAGATATAAAATTCAGCATACCTGACCAGGCAACACCTGCCATCAGGTGGGATCCTGAAATATGCTGTATATCAACGAAATAAAATAAAAAAGAATAACATACCAACTTACCCCAGTCAAAGGCGAACAAACGTGTAGAACTGCCACAGGGGGAAGATGATACCCCCCTGAGGAAGAAAGTTATCTTGTGCAGAGAAAGAGCAACAAATGTATTGGGAGTTGTCCACATACCAGCCTGAATTAGCTCCTCCAAAAGACAGGGTTTTGAGCAGCTAAAGACTTAGTTAGATGATAAATTTGGCGTGAAGAAACATTATGTATACGGTGACCTGACATGGACATGTAAAATATGGCAGTTGTATGAGTTAACAAACCAAACCAGTGAGTGTAATAGGTGAAAGATCACAGGAAATAGAGGAATACTATTGAATGATTAGACAGGAATGAGAACAACTAAAGGAGGCAGTAGTACGAACCAAATAACATAGCAGTAAAGAAACTGGACAAAGTAGATGATCTGGATCCAAACAGGAATACAGATGGGAAAAGGAAATAGGAGAAAAGGTAAAACAACCTTCCCAGGCAGAAGATGTCCTGGAAAGGAAGGCCCTATGCTAATAGTGGATAATATACGAGGAATGGTAAGGGGTAATAAATATCGGAACAATGATGACTGCATGCCAGGAGGGGGAGGAATTAGGTCTTAAGAGAAAAATGGTACAAGAAACAAACAGCAATGGGTTCAAAGGGAGAGCTGGACAAGGCATGAAGAACAACATTGAGATCCCAATCCAGCAGAACAAAGGAACATGGCAGATGGACCAGACAAGAAAAAGAAACAGAAAAGGGGGGAAATAATCGTAGAAAAGAAGGCTTTCTGGAAGTGGCAGGATGGATGGTGTTCAACAGGGTAGTCCTATAAAGAACAACATAAGGCACAAAAACCCTGTGAATTAAAGCCTGTTTTTCCACAGCAGACATCATCGACCATGAGACTTGAGGACTAGTGTCAGAATCATTCTCTACTTATGGCGAGAATTTTATCATCCACCATATTAAAACTCAAATTTATATGAACTAAGTATAATTCACAAAACAGAAACATTTCAAAAACAAACAAATAGAAACAATGGAAATAAATCACAAAAGTTGAAACTGATATTTGTGATCAAGCACAATCAAAATTTTGTAGTCACATGGAAAATAAGTTAAAACACACGTCTATACACTAGAATGCCAATCAAGAAAATGAGTGTGCTACCTGTGCTAGTATAGATGGTGCAGTATGACTGGTGGAGGGTAGTCTCATGATCAGGACAGTTGCTAAAATGGAGCAAAAATGAAGTGGTATAATAGACTGGTGCACTGTTAAAATTTTAGCAATGCTTAGAGGGCAAATCAAGGTCAAGATAGCACCATTTCGGAATTGTGCAGATAAAGCATAATTTTCATAGCATTCAATTTTGTTTGGTTACAGAACCATCAAATTGAAAATCAGACCCCCTCTTGCCACATCCACCTGTCGCATCCTCTTTTCGCAATTGTAAATAGTTCTCTTACATTTAACACTATATTTTAATCTATCACATGACGTACTATATAATGTTGTTTTCTGTACAGAAAAATGTCAACTTCTCTTTCAGTAAAAGCTTTGTTCCCACAGGAAACATCAACTAGCTTGGATGAATTTGTAATGGCTCTTGCCATATAGTTATAAGGCTAGATAAATTGCAATAGTTACAGGACCTTGTCTTTTGGTATGTTATTATTCTATGTTCTTTGGTGCATTATTTAATTAAATAAACATTATTTAGTGCAATACTACTATTACTATAAAATAGTAGGGTTAAGTGTCATCGACAGTTGAAAGCAAATAAAAAGAAGGCCCAGGTAAGTACTTTATTTATTGTTTTTCATGTGTATTCTATATACATTTTTATAAAAGTAACTAAAATGTAAAAATAGGAAACTCTTCAGGTTAGTTAAAATTAGAATAGGTAAAATAAATAATGTATACTGTTATGAGTTTAAAGCTACTTAGGATAAACAAATGTAGTTTCATGTTACAATTTGAAGTCATTCTAGAAAGAAAATAAGGATAATTTAAATTTATTTACCTCTTGTGTGTGTGTGTGTGTGTGTGGTTACAAGGTTGGTAAATTTGACCAACCTTGTATAGAGTTAGCGTACAGAAAATAATAACGATAAAATATAAAGTTTTACTGAAAAAAAATGCTTGAAATATATTTAGGAGATTTTAGAGATTATACAAATGACTTTTGAGATCAAGAAAAGTATTTTTAATCTTAACATGAAAATCATCATGCACTCAAACTGGTCAAAAAAGACTTGATATATTCATGGGCAAATCTTTAATAAAAATACTTTATTAAAGAAACGACTTTACTAAAATGTTTACTAAAAGTCTGCCAATGTTTGTGAAGATACATATACTGTGTTAAAAGTTATAGCATTAAAACTATTTTCAAGTAAAAATGCTGATGTGGTTGGACTCTGGGACTGAGCCCATATCAAGGAAGTTTGTAACCGGCTAAATGTGCAGTGCACGTACCATAGGTACATACTCTTCATCTAGTCGGCTAGGTTGTGAGCACCGACCTCGTGCATTCCAAACATCATGAACAGACTACTAAAAAGTGTATGTGTATGCATTATGTGCATGACAAAGTGTGGAAATACTGTATATGTCGTTTGGTGGGAATTCCGAAAAATGAACATCAGCTTTGGTATATCAAACAGAAACGTTCGGCATTTTCACCATGTTGTTGGAGATCTTGAAGACAACATACAAGAGAAAGGAATGATTTGTAATTATACTTAGCAAAGAGGAAAGTGATTTGCAGCTGGGGTTGTTTTGATTCGCAAATTGTAAACCTGGATATTTTGATAAAAAGTAAAATATATTTTTTTTAAACCCAGCTCTTTTCATTCATATACT